GAGTGCGAAGCGGCTTTATTGGGGGCCCGGGGGGGGGCCCTCGGGGAGTGGGGTCTCAGGGCTCTGGGGGACCCTCTGGGGGCGGCACATCCCCCCCACAGCGAAGCGTCTCCATGTGCTTCTGCATCTTCTCCGTCATCCACGCCGGTGGGACGAAGGGCTTCAGCTCCTCCAGCCGCAGGTCGACAGAGTCCCTGGGTGAGAGGTGGGGTGAGACAGCGGGACCCCGGTACCCAGCACGGACCCTCAGCCAGCAGCGAGCCCAAACCCCCAGCACAGACCCTGGCACCCACCACGGACCTCCAAGGAGCAGTGAGCCCAAATCCCCGACACCCACCCTGGCACCCACCACAGACCCCAAGGCAACACCAAACCCCCAGCCAGCCCACACCCCCAGCACAGACCCTGGCACCCACCACGGACCTCCAAGGAGCAGTGAGCCCAAATCCCCGACACCCACCCTGGCACCCACCACAGACCCCCAGGCAACACCAAACCCCCAGCACCCACCATGGACCACCAAGCAAAACCAAGCTCAAATCACCTGCACCTACCATAGACCCCCCAAGCAGCACTGGGCTCAAAACGCTGGCACCCACTGTGGAGCCCAGCACCCACCACGGACCCTTGGCACCAACCCCCAACCAGCACTGAGCCCCCCAGCTGGCACAGAGCAGGGACCCTCCAGCACTGGCCACCCCCACAGTGGAGCAGCCAGGGCGGGCGCAGCAGAGGCCACCCCCACGGGCAGCAGCCCCAGGCACACATGGCACCTCTGCTCTGGTCCTCACCTGTAATCATCACTGGCAGCCAAATCCCGAATGTCCTCTTCGATGAGGAGGTAAGCCTGCAGCACAAGGGGACACAGCTCAGGGCTGCCATGCATCTGCTCTGGTGGCAGTAGGGGCAACACCGCATCCCCTGTCCCCGGCCGGTGGTCCCCGCAGGAGCCAGGGTTGCCTCCTGGCCTGCGCTACTCGCCTTCGTGTGCGCCCGAATCCCGAGGGGCAGCGGACAGACCTCCTCCGTGCCCCAGGAGCACCTCTACCTCCACACACCCTGCCTAGCCTCCTGCCAAAGCCGCCTTTCCCACAGCAGGCCGTTGGCTGCTCCTCCACCCGTCCTAAGCCCTGCGGTGGATCTCTGCGCGGTCCCCGCTGGCGGCAGGGGCCGTCAGCCCCGGGGGACTGGCGGCAGGAGCCGCCAGCCCGGGCGTACTCACCATCTTGCCCCCAGTGGCCCTCATGTGCTGCTGCTCTGCCAGCCAGTGCTTATCTTGCGGGTCGGCTGCGTACTGCAATAAAGCAGCGAGGACCTAGCTGAACACAGGCAACAGACCTTCCGCTCTGACCACCCTCCTGCTGGGATGCTGCGCCCCGCTCCAGCGCTCGCTCAAGCGCGTTGTGCCACAGGGTGCTGCCCACCAGGGGTGAGGGGGACTCAGCTCTGCCTGCTGTTTCTCCAACCTCAAGCCCTGGCTCCAGGCAAACCCACCACCTCAGAGGCTGAGCTAAGCCGTTAACTTATGTTCCGGGTGCTAGCCATACCGTGTGCGTATGTGCTCTAAGACAACAAACAAGGGCGTGGGGGAGGAAGAAAACAAGCGAGCACACGCTCCCGACTGCCATCAGAAACTGTTTCTGAACAAACCCCGGAGGAGGAAGTGTCCTGCTGCAGCATCTGACCTTAAAGAGGTGGGGATGCTTGATGTAGAGTCGCCCTCTTGTTCCTCCCATCCCGAGAGCTCTGAAAGAGGAACACGAGGGGGTGTTACACCTGTGTGGAGGGCGGCCGTGGTGGTACAGGGACACCTCCTCTCCTCCCCAAGCCCTTCCTACTGCTTTCGAGGCAGAGAAGCGAAGTGACGGGAGGAGTCTTACGGGCTCCTGCCTTGGAGACACCACCCTCCATCAACAGGGCCATTCCTTACTTGTTTGCTCGAGATCCCAGCACAAAGGTTGTGGTTTCAGTCAGTCGGGATGGATCCCACTACAGAGCAATTGGAAAAGGGGCAACATTAGAAATGAAGGTGGTGCTGGCCCACGCTCCACGAGCCTCAGCTCTCTGATGGGGAACCTCAGAACCGCCCCCAGCCTGGGAGGGAGAGAGCTGGCCACAGACCTCCGGACTTCTGCAGAGGAGGGAAGTTAAATTCCCTCTGGGCTGATCTAAACAGTTTCCCTCGTGGGAAACACTTGTGGGATCCTCCTGGCTACTACTGCTCTCCCCAGGTCTAACAGCAGCACCACTCTGCAGAGCTACAGGCTACAGTGCCTGGGGGAGACAAGCAAAGGCTTCCAGGCACTTCGCTCCTCTTCTTGCTTCTCTCCTGCACTGCAGGGGCCCGTCGGGGCAGAGTACAGATCAGCGCTGAGCTCCGCTCCCGCAGCAGTAGGGCTCTGCTGGCGGAAGCAAAGGGGAGGAGAGGGTGAGTCCATCAGTGTCAGCCAACCAATACCTTTGGTCCATCCCTTCTCACGGGCTCAGAGACTTTGAGTTTCCACCTGAGGAGGAAAGAAAATGCACTAAGAATGACTCCCTGCGGGACCAGCGCAGTCACCACCACAGCACCAGCAGCAGGTACTGAGCCCCAGCCTTTCCAGATCCGCCTTTGTTCACACCCTCCATTCCCCTGTGGTGCCCAGCTCCAGACCCTCATCTTTGCTGCACGTTCTTCTCTTCCCAGTTGCCAAGATTTCACCACCACCCGTGTCTCACACTGCTCATTCTGAATAAGTCCACCTGGACCTTTTCACCCCTTTAGACCTGTTTAAAACTGTTTCCTTGAGGGTCTTTGCCTCCCAGGGAGAACAGCTCAACCTAAATCCCTCCTGCCCGCCCTCTGGCACTCCCCCTGCACCTCTCCTTTCTGCAGGAGGGGAAAGAGAGCACAGGGTTTCTGTGCTCCCTGATTTGGGAGCCTCATTTCCCCCCTGCCCCCACAAAACACGGGCTCCAGCTCAGAACCCATACTCACGCAGCCATGCCTGAGACCCCACGATCGTTTGACAGGCTCTGTCCTGGAGGCCGCCCCTTTCTCTGCATGGAAGAAATCCTTCAGTGACTCAGCTGTGCAGGCAGAGAGAACCCTCTCAGTTACCCACCCCCTCCCGGTGAAGCTGCTCTTCTTGTCACAAGCAGAAATGCTGGATGGCACAAGAACAAGCACCTCTGAGGCACCCCAAAAGCTACCTGTGCACTTGCATGTGCTCGTACTGTGGGAATGGCCAGGAACGAGGAACAGGTTTCCCAAAACATAAAATCCCTTGTGTGGAAAACCCTCCTACCTTTTTGGGAATGGGGCTCCCTCGACGATTCAGCTCCTCATCCATCTGTCGGGCACGCTGGAAGAGAAATGGCAGTGAGATGAGCAGGGCCCTTCTCCTCACCAGGCACGGAGGGCCCCACGCATCCAGCTGGCCGCTTTCCCCTTTGCTGCACTTGAGGTGAAGAGCACAAATGTGCAGGGAAATGCCAATCTCACCCCGTCTTGGTGAGAAGCACTGAACTCCAACAAGCAGTGATTGTGCCTGGGATTTTTGTTGAGTAGGTACTTCTCCTTCCTAGCCTAACATCGCCCAGCTCTGCCTCCTTGCTAGTGCACTGACAGACAAGAAGAGGCAGAGAACAAAGCAATTCCAACCCTTCTCCTCCTCTTTCCAACTCTTACAAGCCACTCAAGCCTCTGGGAACAATAACAACTTTTACCTTTGGTACCGCCTGCTCATGGGGCAACCTGGGAACAACCTTTTTGCCATCAGAGAACAGCAGTTTGGCCTGCAGGAAGAGAAAGAAGGGTTACCCGATTCTGGGCCCAGAGAGGGACCTGCCAGCAACTCCCACTGTCATGAATCTGCCTGAAAGCCCTGCAACAGCTCTGCTTTCACAGTGCTGCCATGCAGTGATTTCACAGATGGCGAGATGCAAAAGCTCAATCTGAGTGTGATAAAGTCTGGACAACTGGGACAAAAACAAGATGTGAAAGAAAAAAATCCCGCCCCCCCCAGCCTCTCCTACAGGTGCCAGGGGGCCGGTCTCTGTGGAAGCTCCAGCCATGTGACACGTGCCGACAGCAGCAGTAGAAAGCAACAGCATGAGCTGCCCGGCCCTGAGTGTTCTTCTCTTTCCAGTGAGAATGAAGCCAAGCACAGCAGCCACAGAAGGGCTGTGGATGTCCCCCCCACTCCCCGGTTAGTGGCAAAACCATCAAGAGGGATGTGTCCTAGCTGTGCCGCTCTGCTCAGCCAGGCGCCAGGCTCTGCTGATGGAGCAGAGCCCCTCACTAGTGCCCACCTGCTCCAGGCAGCTCCGACATGTCTCCTGGATAAGCTGCTCTGGGTCCACCTCCTCTCCAACATTATCACGCACGTTGATTGCTGCCTTCTGGAAAAACTGGAGAGGAGGCAGCAGGAGAGGGTTAGAACCCAAGCTGCCAGGCAGCATCAGGGCAGGCACACGGGCCCAGCTCCCATGCTGTACCCACCCACCGGCAGCCAGGAGACAGGCGCGACAGCCTTTTGTGGCAGCTGGGAGCAGCGCTCTCTCTACACAGCCCACGATGGGATGGGGCCTGTCCCTGCAGCTCTCACCTTCATGTACTTGTTGAAGATGGCCCGGATTTCCTCATTGATGCTGGGCTGCAGGACAGCTCGCAGCAGGTCCATGGATACAGCGGGGTCCGTGAAGCTGAAGGTGGAGGAGTCAGGTGTGGGGGGTGTCCCCCAGTCAGATCCTCCCCCTCCGGTCTGGTGCCCAGTCTGGTCCAGTCCAGTCTCTCTGTACAACCTTCCCCCCTCGGGTCCGGCCGGCCCGGACTCC